AGCAGTCAAAGAGTAGAGCTGTCAAAGAGTAGAGCGGCCAAAGAGTAGACCAGTCAACGAGTAAAGCTGCCGAAGAGCAGAGCAGCCAAAGAGTAGAGCAGTCAAAGAGTAGAGCAGTCAACGAGTAGAGCAGTCAAAGAGTACAGCAGTCAAAGAATTGAGCTGTCAAAGAGTAGAGCTGTCGAAGAGTAGAGCTGTCAAAGAGTAGAGCAGTCAAAGAGTAGAGCTGTCAAAGAGTAGGGCTATCGCAGAGTAAAGTTGTCGAAGAGTAGACCTGTCAACGAGTAGATTGGTGTACAATGTTTAGAATGGTTGGTTGGGCAGGGTCTATCATTGTACCTTGAAACACTAGGGTCTTAAGGTTGGAACTTGTGCATTTTTGCTTCAAGTTCCTCACTTCTTGTTTCCCGCCCACCCACCTTGGATCTCCACTGCGGGGTGAAGGGGATGTGGGTCTTTGTTGAGGGATTTCTCACACCCCCATACACCTGCAGGCTTGGTTTACTTCCGTCCTGTTTAGGTATGTTGGGTGTTTTGATTTGTGTTTATGACCAATCAGCGCTGGTTTGTGATCCACAACAGTTCTTGTTTGGGACACAGCCGATACCCAGTGTTATTTGGTAACATTGTTCCCTCTTAGGAGTTTTAGAGTAAGTGACCTCGAGCGGTTCCGGTAAGAAAAAATAGTGTCAACTCTCAAGCCCCGTGTTTCTTTTTCAAACAGTAGAGAAGTCAAAGAGTAGAGCAAGCGAGCAGTAGAGCTGTCAAAGAGTAAAGCTGTCGAAGAATAGAGCAGTCAAAGAGTAAAGTTGTCAACGAGTAGAGCAGTCAAAGAGTGGAGTAGTCAACGAGAAGAGCTGCCAAAGAGGAGAGCTGTGAAGGAATTGAGCAGTCAAAAAGTAAAGTAGTCAAAGAGTAGAGCTGTCAAAGAGTAACGCTGTCAAAGAGTAGAGCTGTCAAAGAGTAGAGCAGTCAAAGAGTAGAGCAGCCAAAGAGTAGAGCAGTCAAAGAGTAGAGCTGTCAAAGAGTAGAGCTGTCGAAGAGTGGAGCTGTCAAAGAGTAGAGCACTCATAGAGTAGAGCTGTTAAAGAGTAGAGCTGCCAAACAGGAGAGCTGTCAAAGAGTAGAGCTGTCAAAGAGTATTGTTGTCAAAGAGTAGAGCTGTCACAGGGCAGAGCAGTCATCGAGTAGAGCAGTCAAAGAGTAGAGCTGTCAAAGAGTAGAGCTGTCAAAGAGTAAAGCGGTCAAAGAGAAAAGCAGGCAACGAGTAGAGCTGTCAAAGAGTATTGTTGTCAAAGAGTAGAGCTGTCACAGGGCAGAGCAGTCATCGAGTAGAGCAGTCAAAGAGTAGAGCTGTCAAAGAGTAGAGCTGTCAAAGAGTAAAGCGGTCAAAGAGAAAAGCAGGCAACGAGTAGGGCAGTCAAAGAGTAGAGCTGTCAACAAGTAGAGCTGTCGAAGAGTAAAGCTGTCAAAGAGTAGAGCTGTCAAAGGGTATAGAGCAGCCAAAGAGTAGAGCTGTCAAAGAGTAGAGCTGTGAACAAGTAAAGCTGTCGAAGAGCAGAGCAGCCAAAGAGTAGAGCAGTCAACCAGTAGAGCAGTCAAAGAGTAGAGCAGTCAAAGAGTAGAGTAGTCAAAGAGTAGAGCTGTCAACAAGTAGAGTTGTCAAAGCGTAAAAAGCAGTCAACGAGTAGAGCAGTCAACGAATAGAGTTGTCAGAAAGTAGAGCAGTCGAAGAGTAGAGCAGTCGAAGAGTAGAGCTGTCAAAGAGCAGAGCTGTCAAGGAGTAGGGCTGTCACAGAGTAGAGCTGTCGAAGAGTAGAGCAGTCAAAGAGTAGAGCTATCACAGAGTAAAGCTGTCAAAGAGTAGACCTGTCAAAGAGTAGAGCTGTCAAAGAGTAGAGCAGTGAAAGAGTGGAGTAGCCAAAGAATAGAGCAGTCCAAGAGGAGATCTGTCAAAGAGTAGAGCTGTCAAAGAGTAAAGCTGCCAAAGAGTAGAGCAGTCGAAGAGTAGAGCCGTCAAAGAGTAGAGCAGTCCAAGAGTAGAGCTGTCAAAGAGTAGAGCTGTCAAAGAGTAAAGCTGCCGAAGAGCAGAGCAGCCAAAGAGTAGAGCAGTCAACGAGTAGAGCTGTCAAAGAGAAGAGCCAAGAGTGGAGCAGTCAAAGAGTAGAGCTGTCAAAGAGTAGAGCGGCCAAAGAGTAGACCAGTCAACGAGTAAAGCTGCCGAAGAGCAGAGCATCCAAAGAGTAGAGCAGTCAAAGAGTAGAGCAGTCAACGAGTAGAGCAGTCAAAGAGTACAGCAGTCAAAGAATTGAGCTGTCAAAGAGTAGACCTGTGAAAGGGTATAAAGTAGTCAATGAGTAGAGCAGTCAAAGAATAGAGCTGTCAAAGAGTAGAGCTGTCGAAGAGTAGAGCTGTCAAAGAGTAGAGCAGTCAAAGAGTAGAGCTGTCAAAGAGTAGGGCTATCGCAGAGTAAAGTTGTCGAAGAGTAGACCTGTCAACGAGTAGATTGGTGTACAATGTTTAGAATGGTTGGTTGGGAAGGGTCTATCATTGTACCTTGAAACACTAGGGTCTTAAGGTTGGAACTTGTGCATTTTTGCTTCAAGTTCCTCACTTCTTGTTTCCCCGCCCACCCACCTTGGATCTCCACTGCGGGGTGAAGGGGATGTGGGTCTTTGTTGAGGGATTTCTCACACCCCCATACACCTGCAGGCTTGGTTTACTTCCGTCCTGTTTAGGTATGTTGGGTGTTTTGATTTGTGTTTATGACCAATCAGCGCTGGTTTGTGATCCACAACAGTTCTTGTTTGGGACACAGCCGATACCCAGTGTTATTTGGTAACATTGTTCCCTCTTAGGAGTTTTAGAGTAAGTGACCTCGAGCGGTTCCGGTAAGAAAAAATAGTGTCAACTCTCAAGCCCCGTGTTTCTTTTTCAAACAGTAGAGAAGTCAAAGAGTAGAGCAAGCGAGCAGTAGAGCTGTCAAAGAGTAAAGCTGTCGAAGAATAGAGCAGTCAAAGAGTAAAGTTGTCAACGAGTAGAGCAGTCAAAGAGTGGAGTAGTCAACGAGAAGAGCTGCCAAAGAGGAGAGCTGTGAAGGAATTGAGCAGTCAAAAAGTAAAGTAGTCAAAGAGTAGAGCTGTCAAAGAGTAACGCTGTCAAAGAGTAGAGCTGTCAAAGAGTAGAGCAGTCAAAGAGTAGAGCAGCCAAAGAGTAGAGCAGTCAAAGAGTAGAGCTGTCAAAGAGTAGAGCTGTCGAAGAGTGGAGCTGTCAAAGAGTAGAGCACTCATAGAGTAGAGCTGTTAAAGAGTAGAGCTGCCAAACAGGAGAGCTGTCAAAGAGTAGAGCCGTCAAAGAGTATTGTTGTCAAAGAGTAGAGCTGTCACAGGGCAGAGCAGTCATCGAGTAGAGCAGTCAAAGAGTAGAGCTGTCAAAGAGTAGAGCTGTCAAAGAGTAAAGCGGTCAAAGAGAAAAGCAGGCAACGAGTAGAGCTGTCAAAGAGTATTGTTGTCAAAGAGTAGAGCTGTCACAGGGCAGAGCAGTCATCGAGTAGAGCAGTCAAAGAGTAGAGCTGTCAAAGAGTAGAGCTGTCAAAGAATAAAGCGGTCAAAGAGAAAAGCAGGCAACGAGTAGGGCAGTCAAAGAGTAGAGCTGTCAACAAGTAGAGCTGTCGAAGAGTAAAGCTGTCAAAGAGTAGAGCTGTCAAAGGGTATAGAGCAGCCAAAGAGTAGAGCTGTCAAAGAGTAGAGCTGTGAACAAGTAAAGCTGTCGAAGAGCAGAGCAGCCAAAGAGTAGAGCAGTCAACCAGTAGAGCAGTCAAAGAGTAGAGCAGTCAAAGAGTAGAGTAGTCAAAGAGTAGAGCTGTCAACAAGTAGAGTTGTCAAAGCGTAAAAAGCAGTCAACGAGTAGAGCAGTCAACGAATAGAGTTGTCAGAAAGTAGAGCAGTCGAAGAGTAGAGCTGTCAAAGAGCAGAGCTGTCAAGGAGTAGGGCTGTCACAGAGTAGAGCTGTCGAAGAGTAGAGCAGTCAAAGAGTAGAGCTGTCACAGGGCAGAGCAGTCATCGAGTAGAGCAGTCAAAGAGAAGAGCTTTCAAAGAGTACAGCAGTTCAGGAATTGACCTGTCAAAGAGTAGAGCTGTCAACGAGTAGAGCTTTCAAAGAGTAAAGCTGTCGAAGAGTAGAGCTGTCAAAGAGTAGAGGCTGTGTACTTTCCAGGCACGTGGAACACTTGAGATCATCGATGGCCTTCAAAAGTTCATCCGGACATTGAAATTGTTTACAAAAGACACGCAACTTGCTGGGGCTCGGATGTCCTAGGTTCCGATGCAACTTCAATAACCATGATTGTTGTTCTGCCGGTAGACTGAGAAACTTGGGTTCATGTTTCTGGCTGGCCAAATCGACAATCTCCTTTGGATTATATCCAGGATCTGAGTCTTCTTGGATTCGGGCTCTCTTGGCATCAGGTTCATCGACCTGATCAGGTGGAGCATGAATTGGCTTCTCTGCAGACACCCTGCCCTCGGCGACAGGTGTCGGTTGGATCGGTTGACCCGAGGCAAACACTGTGAGACTGAGTCTTGCTGGAACGCCGGGCTTTCGAAGCTTGCGAGCTGAGAGCAGCTCCCAGTTCAAAGAGTAGAGCAGGCAAAGAGTAGGGCAGTCAAAGAGTAGAGCAGTCAAAGAGTAGAGCTGTGCAAGAGTAGAGCAGCCAAAGAGTAAACCTGTCAAAGAGTAGAGCAGTCATAGAGTTGAGCAGCCAACGAGGGCATATCGCAGCGTCATCACAGCAAGTTCACTGTTCATTTTTTGAGAAGCCTCCCAACAAAGTTTCGTTCTTACATTTAATTGTGGCAGAGTTTGGGTGCTATGTGTCAAGACGACTAGCGAGACCCACTTGCGCGACCTGTGGTTGCGCTGCCCGTTCGTGTGGGTTTTCTTGCCAGTCCAATCTGTGTGCAAGTTCTTTCCTCTAATCTTGAAGTTCCGCTTTCCTTGAGGTTCATCATCTCGGCCGCCGTTGTCTTCATCTTTGCCGCCGTTGTCTTCTTCTTGGGCGCTTGGATGATGTGGCTTGTCCCGGCGACCCGCCGCATCGAGCACCTGGAGTTCCTCGTTGGGCACTTTCAGAAGTTGTTGAGGGAATCGGACAGAGCCCACGATGCAGCGCAAAGTGTCCTCTTGGCAGAGCGTATGGCTGAAAGAGCCCGGTACAGCCACTACAGCAGGCCTCTGCTGGAATTCGTATCCCAGGGGCTGTTGATGGAGGCAGGTGAAGATGACAGGCTTCTCAGCTGCAATGTGTTTCCGATCAGTGAGCTGGAAAAGGGGGCGGGTCTCACAAAGCTATGTGTTCAATCTTTGCGGCGCCCCTGCAGGCTGGAGCAGTTTGCTCTTGACAGAGCGGTCGACGCAGGCGAGCTGCGCTTGGAGTTGCTGAATTTCTTACGAGATGGTCTGGCGCGGGGATTCCCTTCGCCGATGCGTTTGGTGCTCAGACCACATTGCGGGGCAGCTCACACTTGTGGAGTTTTCAATGATTCTGAGCAAACTTCTGAATTTCAGGTGCTACATAATCATTTTTGAAGATTGGGCAAATCGGACACGGAAACAGGCCTTTAGGAAAACACATGCCAAAACATCAAGCCGTGCCTAGCTGGATTTGGTGGACGATCGGCGGCAAACCGCTCTTCTGCCGAGTCCATGCGACGGCTGCGCAGTCTTCGCAGCCAATGACCCAAGTCAGCCGCGGATTCCGAAGCCGAGCGGTGCGCCCAAGATTTTTGTTTGTTTGCTGTTTTGGCAGATAGCCGGTTCAACGTTGTTCATTTTGGAGGATGACCTGCGACGAGAAGGAGCATGGCACGAGTGGTCAAGCTAGGCCGGGCAGGGGCGCGGATGCGGTAATCAGTTCCCAATTTTGGTTCTTGATGTCTGGCTCGACAGGTGCAAATCGGCGGCGCGTGAGGCTGGGATTGGCTGGGGCATGGAGCTAAAAGTCGTTGTCTGGCTGTCTGAATGCGCAACAGTCGGCGCCTTTTTTCATCCACGTGTTGCGTGCAAGTCATAGTGAGTTCAACGTATATTAGCAACTGATTTACGAACATGTCAATCAAGGTCAGGAGCTTGTTTGGGCCCGTGCGTGCATGTGAGCGTGCTGCAAGTTTATCACGATGTTGGCCGTCAACCCCCCACTTTCGGTCCCTTGCATCATGCGCGTTGATTTTTGCCAAATGGTTCGTCGGTGAGGACAGAGTGGCAAACCCCAAACATTTGATCGTTGACCCATGTGAACACAAATCTGAATTAGTTTGTCTTCGGGATTTTCTCCCACCCTTCGCAACCTTCAGATCTTGACGGTTGTGCCGCATGGGCAAACCAAAAGTATCGATCATACATCATGGTTGGAGGGAACTTGCCACGATGACTCCCGGCCAGGCTCTCAAAAGGACCATCTGAGACATGGGTGTTGGCAAAAACCGCTGCTCGATGGATGATGGGTTGGCGGGGCACTGACGCAACCTCAGGCTGGGTAGCCCAGGCGTAGATGTTCATTGCCATTCGTTTTATTTGTTCCTGGTTTGACATTTTATTGATATTTCTTGATGAGGCTGATATATGTATGCATCGTGTTTGGCAGGCACTGGGTGTGCATTATCATTAGGGTGAGTGTGTAAGTTGATGAATCCATTTTGGCTCAAGTCTGAGCCAAACTGGCTTCATCATTCTTCTTTTGTTGGGGTACCCACACCACTACTAGGGAGTCACCCTAGGGTAAGTGGTTATTCGTTCCTCTACTAGGGAGTTACCCTAGCGTACAGAGGTTACGGAGGTGGGAGATACCCCCCTGATGCCCAGGGCCACCGTTGTCGTTCGGCCTGGTTGGAATGAGGCTGCCCACACCGACGCTGAGATCCTTCACGCGGCGGCCTACTACGAGTTCAAGACCCACGTGGAAGGCCTGCTCCAGCGGGGCCTGGTGTCTCAAGCCACCAGGTTATGGTCCTCAGTGTGTCAGATCGACCATTTCCCCCCTCATCCCATTGGTTTGGGGGTGGAGGGACTTCCCCCTTTCAGACGGTCACCCTGCATGGAGGAAAACTGTAGGAGGTGTACCGAGTTTTTGGGAGGATTCAAGTTCCCATGGATTGGTACGTGGAACAGCTCAGCTGTCTTGGCTCTGCCCGGGAGTGACCCGCGGCTGGCGTGGCAGTCCTACTATGATCGCCTGGGCGAGGCGAAGCTGGACTTGCTGCTCATTGAGCCGCTGCGGACCCATTGGACAGCTAGGGACTTTGCGCCGGACAACATCTTCGGCTTGGTGGCCTTCATCGAGCACAATGCCGAGAGTATGGTCGACCTTGCCGAGCTGTGGGATGTCTGGAGGAAGTGGCAGTCCCCGCGCCGAGGATGGAGGGACCCATCCATGGTGCCTATCCCAGCTGACCTGGTTGCGTGGAGGGCACCACGGGCCAGAGCAGTGCGGTCGCTCTGGGGGTGGCTCGGTGCCATGGAGGCTGGGGAGGAACCCTTGCCGCCATGTCGGGCCTGTGGCATTCCGACCCCAGAACTTTGTGAGCACTGTTTCTCTTCAGTGTGCAGTACCTGTCCACCCTCCCAGTGTCCAGGCTGTCACCCCAACTTGCATAGAGACCCATCTGCAGCAGCTGCGGCCTAGTGATGCATGTTTCGTACCTGGTGATACTGAGGTGAACTCTGCAGTTTCAGGCCCAGCGCGAACGCTCCAAACATTGGCAGCGGTGGTGTCGGGGGTTGCCATGGCATATCACCCAGGTGCCTACGCAGTTCAAGCTGCAGGTGATGCTCCGCTTGGTGCTGAGACTGCGATGGAACGGGTGGCCTCAACGAGGGTGGAGCAGTGGCGATCTCAATGGGGATTGCATGACAACACAGACTTCGCCTATGCCTTCGCATCATACGACAGCGCAGTGGCGCATGGAGGACACCATGTTGCCGATGCGTGACTGCAGGCGCGTTCCAACATCATTGAAGATGACCTCATTCCGCAGGTGGCGGCAGTGGCAGAGAGTTCTGGATCTCGGGATAGGCCAGCAAGTTGGCCAGCTCCCAAGGCTTCGATGTTGAAGAAAAGCAGGATGATCCAGGCACTTCGCATCCGTCCAGGCCCAGATCAACCAGAACAAGTGCTGCTGAGAGCCGAGGCTTTGCGGAAAGCATTCTCCCAGGCCAAGGTGATGCGCCCTCCAGGGGAGCTGACCCCTGAGAGGTATTCACAATGGCAGGATGCCCTGGATACCCTGGCCAAGAAGAAGGTCACGGAGGCAGAGGGCGCCACAGTTGTGAATGCCCTCAAGTCCTGGGCAGAATTGAGGGCATACATGGAACAGAAAGATCGTTTGTTTCCGCCTGATACTTTGGATCTTTATGGCTTTCTGCAAAACGGCACAAATGGACCCTACAGGGCATTTCATTCTTTGAAATGGTTTTCGAAACATGGTCGCTTGCAGTGGGACTTCAGTGACGTGCCAGTGCCCTCAAGGAAGAATCCACCCAAGAAGGCAAATCCTGAGCAGGCAGTCGCAGTTGAACCGCCGATGATTGCTGCCCTGGAAGAGCGCATACAGGCCATGTATGAGGCAGAGGACCCACGTTGGCGAGGGTTGCTTTCATCATGGCTGGTAACCTTTGGTGTCGTGTTATAAGCATATTATGAGGGCCAGGCCGGTGAAGGTGACACCATCTTCGTTCCATGGGTTTTGCCCGAAGGGCAAGCAGCGGGCTAATCGGGGTGGATTCTCCTTCTGTATCCCCGCAACATTCGTGAATGGATGGGCTTGGGGAGCCGCCCTATTTCGGGACTATAGCAAGCTGACCAAGACCAAGCAGGCCACCTCAGGCCTCTGTTTCGATGCGGAGGGTACCGCATTCACCTTGAAGTATGTCAACGACTTGAACCGCGAGGTCTTCGAGCACTTGGTCCAGAACACAGACGATCTGTCGTCTTACTCTTGGAGGCGAGCTGGCCCCACAGTGGGATCACTGATGAAGCTGACGCCCCTGGAGTTATGTTCGCTTGGCGACTGGGCCGATCGGAGCCAGATCCCCAAAGAAGCGACGATGCCTATGCACTACAGTGCAGCCAGGTATGAACACTCGCTTCGGACCAAGCATATCATCAGGCTGGCCATGGAGAAGTTGTTGGCCTACGAGTCTTGGGAGACGATTCCGGAACAGAGCTTTGCAGAGGCCCTTGACTATGCGCGCCAGCAAGTCGACAAGGTCCTGAAGCAGGAGTCCCGTGTCATCTGGGCAGCCCCTTTGACCAAGGATGAGTTACAGGCTCGTTTTCAGTTGTCAGAAGCCCTCAAGCTCAAAGCAGCTGCCAAGAGGGAGGAAGCCCAAGCCAAAGGTGGGCTGACGGCTATGCCAGCTTCCCTCAATGGGAAGGTGCTGAGTGCCTTCATGAAGAACGGGGCGCCTATTTGTGGGGCATATCAAACGAAGTCCTGCCCGTTAGAGAAGGAATCATGCCCGGGTAGGCATGCATGTGCCGTGATGCGCAAATCTGGACGCGTCTGTGGAGGAGGACATCCAGCATGCGAATGCCATGACAAGAAGTTCATCAAGGGGGAAGAGATGCCGGGCGAAGGGACTGGTTCGGGCTCTGCGAAGGCTAAGCCTACCAGCAAGTCCAAGGAGGAGCGACCTCCTGAACCAGCCACCCCACCCAAGGCGCCAGTGAGGCGCCCTCGATCGCCACAGGGCCAACCGCCTAAAGCACCGCCTGAGAAAAAGGCGAAGGCAGCTCCAGCCACACCTGCAGCCCCTCTTCCAGCCCTGGTTTCGAGCTCTGAGGATGAAGAGATTGAAGTGGAGGAGGAAGACCTCCCGATTCCAGAGGCACTGGACACCCGGGGGCCTGACAGGAAGTTTGACAGGCTGGCCACTGTCCACGGCAAGACTGCAGAGAGCCCAAGCCTGATCTACCAGAACAGAGCAGGGGGCAAGCTGTGGTTGAGCGGGATTCCTACCAAGAATACCGCGCATCGCTTTCCGAAGGGAGTTACCCTTCAGATTGCATGCATGGCTGAGACCCCATCCTCCCGAGGAGGAGTAGTGCTGACGGACGCCCTCTTGAAGCACCTTTGTGTGGCGCATGGCAACTCCAGGAACAGGGACTTTGAGGAAGTCTGGCCCCTGCTGCGCAATACGATGTATGCAGGAGAATCAGCACTGATCCATTGCCTGTCAGGACGTCACCGAGCTGGTGTTGGAGGCTGCGTCTTCAGGGCCCTACTTGCGCAGGAGAGCTGGGACGTTGCCGTGGCTTATGTCAAAAGCTGCAGGCGCTCCCTGGACATTCCGGAGATCATCCATGAGGCTGGGATGAGGTCGTGGGTTGACACGACTCTCAGGGCTAGCTCTCTCCGGAACCCATTCCCGGAGCCATGTGGCTATATCGCAACTCAGCGGTCGAAGGTCCACTTGGAGCTCAACAATGGCCAGACCCTCTGCTCACACAAGCAATCTGCCGAGCGTGCAATCCGCTTGGTAAAACCGATGACTACGCAGGATATGAGGGAGGCCATGGCATGGGGCCGCGCATTTTGTGACAGTTGTTTGGTGCGCGCAGCAGCGAGCTGGCACCCACGCTGACCATGTCAGTGGGGACGCACCTGAATTCAATTTGAATAAGAGACGCACAGGGCCGATTTTGGTAGGCTGATCACTGAGGTCCATAGCTTGCCCGTAGGCCAACTTGCATCATGCAGTCAGATGAGCTTTGATTTGAGTGTGGAAAAGAGTCTACATCTACATCCGGGAGGATGAGGTTTGGGTAGACTCCGTTAGGAGCCCTTGCATGTTTTAAGAGTTGCTTACACAGGGAACTGTGAGTTC